GACTGGCCAGCAGTGCCTCTGCCAGTGAAAATGGAGCTTAGGAGGGCTGTAGGTGGAGGCCATCGCAGCCGAAAACGGAACATGGGAGCCCATTTTAGCTGGCAGAGCACTCGGGTCATCACAGGTGCCCCTGTCATGAGTGATGTCGAGTTGGCCACCCTGGCCACGTCCACCCAGCCCTCCAAGGTCCTGATGTGGCCCTCAATGAAATTGAGTTTGACACCCCTGCTCAAGAGCTAGAAAAAAAATGACCTGTCGGAAAGAAAAAAAATACTCCTGCTCCTTCTTTTCTTATCTGCTGACAGATTCCAGAAAAGAATTTGGATCTCTTAGAGAGTCTAATGTAGAACTATTTACACCAATCTTCAGGATTGCTCTTTCTAACCAGAAGGACATAATAACATAAGAGCATAATAACATAAGTTCCTCAATACATTTTTGCAGTAAAGAATCCACCCCTTGTTCTCTTTGTGCCTCTACAAAGGCATAGAGATAAATATAGGAAGATATAAAATGGAAATGAAACAGTAGGAAAAACAATTGGCCCATTCTCATTTATCTCCCAATTCAATTTGTTGCCTCAAACTGCATTTGCTAAAACAAATTAACATTACTATTACAGCCAAGCTTCATTCAACTGAATATCTCTTATACTTTAGAGTTCAGTATTTATTCTTAAAAGATAACCCAACATTGTTACAACATAAGCACACCATTTATTAAATTCAGATTCTGCCATAGTAATTGGATATGAATTTACCTCAACTGTTGTTCTTTAACATAAGCATCATGAAAGAATCCTTCAAAGTATCTTATTATGGAAGGATCAGTGATGCAAGATAGGTCAGATTATAGAACACCAAGCACATAAATAGGAAATAGTTTAAAACCCAAATTTTTTCTAATCTTGTAAAGATCTACTGTAGCTTTTCTGGGCAGGTCAAGGTTCACAATTACAATTTAAAACGTGTGATGTAATAGAACTAGTGTGGCTGTTTTTAGAAATATTGTTATGATTTTGAATTTCTTATAATACCTGAACAAGTATCACTTGGCAGAGACTTTTGTAGACACAAATGTGTAGAGGTGACTAGTGAGTAACATAAAGCAAACACTAGACTCTCCAAGGGTGTAGAGAACCTGGGGAGATTTATTCTGCCCTGTCCCTTGAGCATTTAGGGATAGAAAAATCAAAACAGATTTAAACTAAGAATTCAAAGTAATCAAGCAGGTGCTTGCCTCTAGATTTCTCTTTGTTGACCTCTGCTGTTTTTTCTTCTCTTCAAAACTCTGAAACAAAACTGACTTCTAGTAGGCTCAGTTAGGCTGCTTGAAGGTTTTTTGGAGTCTTCTCTACATGAGCTTTGCGTCAGGGGCAGTCTCAGCCAAATTGTTATCTGTGAATTGTGCAGTATTGTCTGGATAAGTCTCCAACAGTTGAGTCCAGCCTTCCAGGGACATTACTTCTATCCTTCCAAGAAGGGTGCTTTCACACTTATTAATACACTTCGTATAACTCTCTGCAGCATTATAAATGACATCCACCATATGGAGATTTTTAGAAACATGGTGGTGGCGGTATAAAACAAGTTCACAACAACTCTGCGCAGGATGTTGGGTTGAATCCAAAATGATGTTGGATTTCATTTTGATTGCAAAGCAATAAGAGGAAATAAATTTAGAGTGGTTATCTAGCTGGTCTGAATTATTTTCATGTACAGAGGTGAGAGAATTTGAGATCCTTCTCAGGCTTTCTGAGGTCAAAGCATCCCTGTAGATGTAGATAGGTACAGGATATAGCCAATAAGCAGCAGAGGAAATCCAGGGATGGATTTTTCTCCTTCTGCTATGTAATCCTGTTTTCTGCTTCAGAGAAATGAATATGTCTGATAAATCCATTTGTCCTGATGACTTTAATCATTATTTCAATCACAGTAGCAAGATTTGCTATGACTGAGAAATGTATTGTTCTCTCAGTCAAGATCTTAGCAGCAGAAACAAATTTAAATACAATATAAATTATAATATATGAATAGCATAAGCAATATCAGTATCTTAATAAACATTTGTCTTCCTTCAGGCTGATAACGCTGTAATTACATTTTAATTTTACTCCAAATGTGTCCATTAAGATCTTCATATTGAATAAAAGTTAACTTAGTGTCTTACCTGTTAGCAGAAACCTATTGTTTCTCATCTTCCTGCAGTTGAAATGTGATTATTGTCATATACTTTTTCAGAATGATAAAAGGATAGTTTTTTAAAAAAAATTTGATTTATATGCCGCCCTTCTCCGGAGACTCAGGGCGGCTTACAATGCATTAAGCAATAGTAGTTGATTTCTAAGCTTCCTTTCAATCTTTGTTGTGAACACAGCAATCAGCACTGAGAATTTGTTTAGTATATAAAACAAATGTATCTTTAGCTTCTAATGAAATAGTTGTTTTAGGCTTATTTTCCATCCTATTTCTGTAGCTGTATACTGTATATGGCATAATTTTCAAGAAGACTTAATGTTTTATTCTGAAGACATACTGTGATCTAGAACCTCTATGCACTCTGAGTTGCATAGAATTTTGATCCAACAAATATTATCTTATTTATCAAGTGAACAATATAAGAAATGCTCAGTCTTCTCTGCCAAAGAAGAAATTGATAAATTTAGCTGCCTAACTACTTTTTTCCTAACATTCTGCAATATGCATTAAAAATTACTGACTTTAAAGATATTTATTCCTCAATAAGTCTATATACGATTGAATTCTTAAATGTAAAACAAAAATCTTTATTCTTAGTTAAATATGTTGATTTGTAAAGTGTGCCCTATTTGAACTACAGAGTAAATAAACATTTATTTCCTCAATAAATCTCAATTTGAAAAATCATTTAATAAAATAAAAAAAATAACGGATAACTAAATGTGTATTTACAATTTATTTGATATAAAATACTTAAAAGAATATATAATGTCGTAATATTGAAACATATTGACATACTGTAATAATCTGTATAAAGTCTGGACAGGAAGAAGACAAACTGTAATATAATGTTGTATATCAAATAAAGCAAATATAATTGTAACCATTGTAGAGATGTATTTCATAAAAATGAATGCATTGGATTCTAATGTACATTTATAGTGTATAGAATGATTTTGTTAAAATAACCCTACACACATTAAATGGAATAATTAATTTCATTTAATGTGAAAATGTTTCAAGGATCACAATATCAACTGTTCAAATTATACATCAGTTGCTATTCCTCTAGTAAAGAATTAATTTTGTTAGGATCTTTTGTTCCAAAGGATGAGTCCTAACGGCAACTCACATTGCATCTCATGCAGTCCATTTCTTGCTGTCAAACATGTCTGAACAATAAATATTCAGCATAAAAATATTTCTTTTGGGATAGGCCCAACTCCTAAAATTGCTGCATGTGCTTTCAAATCTCCTGTCTTTTCTTGTTGCATTACCTTTAATTTCAATTTTTTAAAAATTTACTGATAGTTCATTTGCTAGAAAGCCAGCAAGTTAAATGCAATTAATATATAATCACAGATTGATTATCTGTTTAGATCTAAGTTTGAAGATACTGCTTCCTTCTAAGTTTACACTTGCAGGTGCCAATGCTTTGGCAGAGTAGAAAATAAATCTATCCTTTTAGATGTCTGAAGAATGGTCGTTATCTCTTGTCAGTCTTTGTCAGATCTTTTAACTGTTATATATTGGGCTTGTTCCACATCTTTGTAATTCTCTTTTGAAGTCATTCCAATTTGCTGTTGTCCTTTTTTGGAACTGTGGTATCCAGAACTGGATACATTCTGTGTCTATTTTTTTTTCTTTTTACATTAATTGTAGTTCCAAAAGTAGTTCATAAACATTTGTTATGAACCAGTTAAGAGCATTATTCTATCAGTTCTCAATTATTAATGGGGATGTAAAATTATTTGTATCTAAAGTAGAAAATGTGGTTCAGGTAGACCAGGGGTGTCAAACACGCACCCCCAGGCCAGATGCATCACACGCTGGCCCTGCCCACCCATGGTGTAGCGAAGGGGGGGAAAGTCATGATACGTCAGGTGATGACAATGTGACAATGCGAGTTTGACATCCCTGAGGTAGAGTTTGAGGGTGCTTGTTGCACCTGCCAACACCTTAAAGATGTCCCGGCTTTTTTTGGACTCACACAATAGCTGTGCGGTCCCAGGAAAATGTTTGCACTACTAAGGAGGTAATGACAGAGACCTAAAAAAATCAGCAGTGCTCATCCAAATGAACAACTTGTTCCTTGCTTCTTAGAGTCTACTTTCCTACTGACCTGCTTTTTGGTCAGTCCATCTTTGACTGTTGTATCTTTAAAACACACCTCTGTTCAGGACTAGATGAATTGATTTAAGAATCTGAGAGGCAGATAGAGGGTGCAGGCAGGGATTCTTACTGGATCTGCTTCAGTCAGAGTGAAGTGGGAATATTGGCTACAACAGTGTTGGAATCAATCCCACCACGTTTATTATTCCTAGATATCCCTAGTTCTTTTTCTTCCTCTTCATCAGAAAACAAGAACAGCAGGACCATGACCATACCAAAAAATCTTTTGAAAACATGAGGGCTGGAGAACTGCCTCTTTCTAAAGCCATAACCTCCAGGTATGGAGATTAGCATATCCAAACCACCCACCCCCTTTTTCCCCCCAAAGCACAGCTTCCAATGGCATGAGATTTGCTCTCAAGCTGGAAAAAAAATAAAATGGCTTAGTATCCTACATATCCTAAGATGCCCCAATGCAGACCAACAAAGCCATGATGGATGGCTCTGCTGCCATCCATTGAAAACATTACAGATTGGGCTAGGCACCTGCTTTGGTCAAGATGAGGCCTACAAATATCCTGTTGAGAAACTAAGGACGAAGACCTTGTTTCAGGAAATAGTAATGTTACAACTCCAGCTGTAAAGTTAAAATGATTGATATGCTTTGTTGTAATTAAGAAAAAGATGCTCTTAAATTTACTGATACTTTTATTGACTCCTTTTGTGATAAGGAATAATGGACTTAGTAACAGACACATAGAACTGTGTTTCTTCTCACTTATATAATGCTAGACAAGATCAAATTGGCTGGATCATCTGCTGATTTTGGTTGTGATGTGCATTTGACCCCTGCCTAACTTACGTTATGCACATTGCACATGCGAGGTCCAATATTAACTGTTACCTACACAGAGTTACCTTATTTCTCATGCAGTAGTACACAACCACAGGTCTACAATGCCTGTTAGATTGGGGCACTAAGAATGCATAGGGTCTTATAACTGAAGGTTATATCTTCTAAATAGTTTTGTTTCCACTTTTTTTATAAATAGAGAGGAAAAAATGATGGGGAATTAATATAGTACCAAAGAAAAAATAAACCTTACATAATTCAATATTTTTATAGGCAGTCTCTTCCTGGGATTCTTGCTAGATGAAATAAATGTCATCTTTTTAATAAGCAATTACAAATTTATTTTGAGTGACAGTCAAATAGAATTAATTTTCATGGAGAACAGAGGGTCATCGCTCTTGGAAAACCTACAACTATTCAAGAGGCAGGAAATATAAAGAATCCTAATAGCACTTGCCAAATCTCATTTTAAAAAACTGAGTTCTAGAATCATTAATAACTCTTCCTACTTAGCATAAATATTACATTAATATTTTCCAAATGCCTTATAAATTAAAATATCAATTATTACATTGTAACATATGCAAGATTTATAAAGCAAATTGTTTTCTAGATAATTCCATTTTGCTATATTTTGAGATATGGATATTTTTACCAGGTTTCTTCATAGGCATCACTGCTCTTGTTGCCTAGATACAGAGCATAATAATTGGAAAAGTTAAATTATGCACCAAAAAAGAAATAAAGATCATTTGGTGCTGGTTCTCTCTATTAGGAAGCAAAGATTAGTGACTTTGGAAAATAGCATGTTGCATATACAGCTGGAATGACCGAAAGGTCTGGGAACTGGAAGCAGTTTTATGTATTAACAGATGATAATATTGGTCAATTTATAATAAGAGGAAAGATGTAAAATATAGTGATTCAATTGGTTAAGTATTTTTAAGAGAGAGGAAAAAATAAATGTAGCTTTGTCAATAAAAAATGCAGTTATTTTTTATAAATTTGCTAAACCAAGGACAAATACATTTATCTTATGCTTCCCAGCTGCTGTTAGGACTGCTGTAAAATAATTTTAATGATATCCTTTAGATGGTAGGTCAGTAATCCATGCTGCTAATGAAATAAGCCTTGAATTGCTGTTTTGTTAGTTAGCAGGGGAGAAAATAAATGGTAGTGACTTTCTGACCGTAAAGAGAGGAGCAGATGAAAGTGCCCACATTTACATAGAGGCATGGGAAATTCAATAAATTTTAGGCAGACAAATTGGAAATGACCTACTTCTCTCTCAGAAATCTTAAGTGATCAGTGTAGATAGTACTGGGATAGATGAACTCACAATTTGCCATTTTCATAAAATGCACTAGAATTCTGCCGTTTATGATTGGAGATTATCCGAGTGTATCTTCAGATAATGAAGGCTTCCTCGGCTAAGAAATGGAGATGAGGACTGTCCACTAGGGTCAGATGCGACTGGACAGGAGAAGCCTTTACCTTTTCTATTATAGCTAATTACAGAGCTATATATTTAGTCACTATGCATTAAACTAATGAGCAAAACATTCAGCGTAAGAGGAAGGCAGGTAAATATAAAAATGTTTTTGAAGTGTTTAATTCTTCAAATTTCTTGGCATGCAACAGCCTGATATAAGAACTGATTAAATTATTTTTTATAAAATCAGTGAACATATGGAGATGAAGAGTTAAGAGATGAAGAGTTAAAAGTGATGGCACAGCAGAGTCACCAGAGAGCTGCAACAACAACAGAATGAGTTGTCTGTCTCCTTATTGCCATCTAAATTTTTCAATCTAAATATGGTAGCTTAACTCAAAACAGTACCTCTATAGGAATCTAGTTTTTGTAAATGCTAAACACCGTACTTTCAAGCCAATGTTAATGGGTTTTTGCAAAATATTTTATTGGGTTGATTTTTTCTTTTAGTAGGAAACAATGCATTTTTGTTACTGCGCACAGCTATTTGTAAGAAATATTTTTTTGCAATTGACTGCTATAGTAATACATTTTTAAAAGGTAAAACTCCTATCCCATGCTGAGTTACTTGCTATTCTGCACATGAAAACATCGTATAAATGGTAAGTAAGCATCTGAACTGGGTGTTACGGAACTATAAAGCTACCTATAAGTTTTGTGACTATATGGTCAGCTGCACCACAGAGTAAAAAAAGGACAAGCACCTTGTGCTGTATTAGTGGAAACCAATCATCAAAGTGTGAGCCTCATGGGCATTGTTGTGTGCATGCAGATTTTTATATATGTATATTTGCGCACACACAGATACATAGACACTGAGAAGATTGAAAAGTTTGAAAAATGCATTACAATAGAAATTTCACACCATTTCTAATTAAAATGGTCTTCAATATACAGTACTTTAAAAGCTATTTGAAAATCTATACACTCTTGGAAAACAGGCATTTAACATTACAGTACAATGAGTTAGGATATACAGTGAGTTGTGGCTAACTATATTTTTGTGTATTACAAAGAAGAAATCACTTGTGTTAGTACAATTTATCTAAAGATTTCTCTAACCCATTGTAATTCTGGAACAGATGACTAACATCTTATAGAACTGAAATAAATAATAAGAAATATTCTTGAGACTCTGTTACACTTGAAAATGGATTCTGGGTACTGGATAAAACTGCTGATTTTGGGATAGGTATTTAAGCCTCAAGAGATAATTCAGTGTATATTTAACGTGCATCTGTACCATGATGATGGAGATGAGTTTTGCACAAATCACATTTTGTATTATTTTCTCCAAAAACATTTATGTTCCATATGCACAGTTCACTAGAGGTAGATTGGACTTCCATTTGGTACATGCATAATCACAGTGAATTTTTGGTTGCCTTTGCTTACTATAAGCATTCAAATTATGAGAAAATCTCACAGTATATTTTGATTTTTGCAAATAGTATTTTTCCATCTTTCTAATGGAATATCAATAGAAACAGCATTGGCAGTTGTTTACTTCATCTTCTTGTAAATTGTATCCCCCAAATTACATTTTGCCTTCAGATTTTGGCAAACAATAAAAAAGATAACTCTATTTGAACTTTCATTGGTCCCTTGATCTCAGCAATTTTATTTCAGTCCTAGTCAGCATCCTGCAAAGAATAGATCTAAATGGAACACAAACACTGAGAGGTATTATATAGCCTGTGAAATTTAAAATGAAGGATGGTTCAAGACTGCTTAAACATCATAGAAATGGCTTCTATCCTAGGAAAACTTGATTATGATGAAATAATATTTACTACAGTGCTCTGCACTGTAGTAAATATCAGTATAAATTAATAATTTATTAGTACCTGAGCAAGGACGCAAACCACCTTCACACACTATAGCACCAAAGGCAGTAGCTCAGAGTTCTTAAAACAATGGGATATAGAACATTAAACATTCTATTGGTTGATATAAAAATATTAATTTCCAGCTGAAAAATAGTGCAAACTTCTATTTTTTCAGAATAAGGATGGTGTTCATTTCCCCCACATTTCATTTCATATAGGCAGCATTGCAGGGCCTAGGCACATGAAGGGGAGGTTTTGGTGCAGGCCTGTTCAATAGAAGAGGGTTAAGGGACAAAAAGAAAAAATAAATACATGAAAATTGGGAATTATTAAGACATTTATTTACTTATTACCGGTAAATAAATCAAACAATTGTTACTTTATAGGGATAGGCATGCAATAGTTTCAGGTCACGTAGATATCCTGGACCACCTTTTTGAAGCCCATCCATCTGCACCATCAAATTTAATTTCAGGAGGCTGCAGATGGGTGTGTGCATGCTGAACCCAGAACAAGAAACTTTGCTACAACAGCAGCTCATGGCCTTATTGCCACCCATTTGGATTACCTTAATAGGTCCTAGTTGGGGTTGCTTTAAATGGCCCAGAATGCTGTGACCCATAGGTTCCCTAACATCTGGCAGGAGCACATTACACTACAGTGCTTGCACTGGTTATCAATCAGCGTCTGGATGCAATTAAAACTCTTGCTTTTAACCTATAGGACCTTGAGCTTGGCACCAGATTTTCTTTACCATCTTCATCAAAATGATCTGGGAGAAGCAACTTGTGGTTTGGGGAGGTGAGGTGAACTCAGAGAACTCAGAACAGGAGATGTTGCTTGTCGGTGGCAATGTTGGCCCTTTGGAATAATTGCAGTTAGATTGGTTTCCTTCCTGCCTATTACAGGAATATCTTAAAAGATCTGTTTGATAGAACTTTGGGTGTGACGTCTTTCATTTCTAATGTCTTTCAATTATATTTTATTTTTAAAATTTACATGAATTATAATTAATTCATAATAATTCTATTTATTATTTATACATATAGGTAAAGGTTCAGATTCCCCTAGCACATACGTGCTAGTTGTTCCCGACTCTAGGGGGCGGTGCTCATCTTCGTTTCAAAGCCGAAGCCAGCACTGTCCGATGACGTTTCTGTGGTCATGTGGCTGGCATGACTAAACGCCAAAGGCGCACAGAATGCTATTACCTTCCCACCAAAGTTGGTCCCTATTTTTCTACTTGCATTTTTTACATGCTTTTGAACTGCTAGGTTGGCAGAAGCTGGGACAAGTAACAGGAGCTCACCCCGATACGCGGCACTAGGGATTCGAACCGCTGAACCGCCAACCTTTTGATCGACAAGCTCAGCATCTTAGCCACTGAGCCACTGTGTCCCTTTTTATATATACATATACATATACACATGCACATATATACATATATATATAATATGATATAATGATATAAACATAACTGTGGTCATAATATTGGAATATCATTTTATTCTGATCATTGCCAGCTCTAAACCACTAAAGAGTTGGGACAGTTTTATCTTTTTAGCCTATATGTTAAAAGTGTTAAAATTATGATTTGGGGAATGAGAAATAGAAGAAATCGTTTTTTCACAATATTAGAACCTGCTAAATTAAATAGTCAAGATTCAGGCAGAGGAAAGGAATTTTTTACATTGTGTACTGCCAGTCTGTGACGGCTCAGTTTATGCTGAAGTTGATTCTTCATGTGACATGTTTATTGCAAAATTAAACCACTTTGTGCTTCATGGTGCTCATAAAATCTTACTTGGATAGCTTCCATTAAGAGTTTAGTGTGAAACATAATAAGAGACAACCAAACTAACCTGACAGGAGCAATGTGAGGCATAGCTTTTGGAAGCTCAAACATTGTCCTAGAAGCAGGATTAAACTGAACAGCTTTGTTCTTCTGAGGATTAGCTGGCAAAGGCTTCTGAGGAGGGCTTGGTTTGCAAGATTCCTACAATGTGGGAACAAAATAACAATATTGTTGCAATTCATTGATTTATACAAACATCTCTTTTATAGATTTTATCCATGTACAAAGCAGTCAATGATAAAACACCAAAACTGTGTGTATTATAGAATGTTACTAAACAATTCTTCACAATTTTGTAGTTATAGTTTGCCCAAAAACAAACTATAGTTCAGCCAAAAACTGAAGCTCCTTTTGATTTAGTTTTTAATGTTTCTATTATTCATCATCCTGCCTATCCCTCATAACATGCTTTAGTTGAAACAAACATTTGCATTATATGAATTTCCATGATTTCTATTTCTAGTAAATAATAAAAAAAAAAATTAAGAAAAAATAAAGTCAGGAAGGACTTCTTGGAAAGTATTCAGGGGAGCTATGAAAGAGCTGGCAAAACTCTTTGGCAAAAATGCATGGCTTTTTTTAGCATTCAAAGCTATCTATCAATTTTTTAAAAATGCTTTACCTACATAAATCTGTTCTTTATTTCAAAAAGAGAACATGACAAGGCACCTAATAAATATGCCAAGAGCGGAAACACAAGAAGATCATTGTGTACATCTGTCATTGGGACATTTCCAAATTATAGCAATTTAATATCACTTTTCTGCCAGGCATCCTGCTAAACATTATCCTGTCAGTTATACCATGGCCCTTTTCCTATTAACTGTCTTAAAAATAAAACCCAAATTCTTATCAATTCTCATATTCCACAAAAGGATGCAAGAACCAATAAGCATTTTATCAATAAAGCATAATAAGTGGGTGCCAGAGGTAAGGCATAACTTCAAATAAAATGTAAAGTTAAATAGAAGTCTGGCTTTATGAATTAAAAACCTTGTGATACTTACATCTAGACTCAAGAATGAATAAAAAATATCAAACACGTTGCTGTTTTTGTTATTTTGATTTATGTATATCCAGCTGTTCTGGCCATAGGACACTTGAATAGGTAGCACTGGGTTAATTGAAGTGTTTTCTTAACAGTTACAAGAAACAGTTGCAAGAAACTCATCTATGTCCTCTAACAGAAAAGGCTGCTATTAAAATTGCATCTGTAATGGACATTTAAAATGGCTAACTTTTATAACAGAAAAAAATATCAGCTTCTATGCCATGTCTTCTGACAGATACATGGAGAAGAAATATTAGTAAAATGTTTATTATATTATAAATCATGGTTGTCTTTTTTTTATAGCTTCCAGAGTACAATAGACACTTTAAATATATACTGTGTGTTTTGTCATGAAAGAAATGGTGGCTCCAATTTTTTTTACTTCACTGTAATTTGTTCATTTTTAGTAAGTACAAGGTTTCTGAAAATGGCAAAAAACAATCTGAACTCAGAATACAACTATGTAAAAATTGGACTTCTATCTACAGATATGCTTGTTTGTGAGGCACAACAACAAAGAACATTTAGCAATATTCTTGCAGAGGATGAAATTATAACAGCATTTTACCATTTATTTATAATTTTATATATAGTTTTATATAATTATGTGTGTGTGTATAAAATTTTATATAAATTTATAATTTATCAAACAAACTTTGTTCTTTCTTGGGCATGGGAACCTACTAGGTGGCTCACTCTGGGCTTTCGCTCTCTCTTACTCACCTCACAATTTTTTTTATTGTAAGGAAAATAAGAGGAATAATATTATGTGTACAACTGCAGTTCTACAAAATAAAAGAAGGTAAAGTAATAAGTAATAAGTAAGTTGGCTTTATTCTTCAATCAACTAACACCTATAATTATACCTATATCAGAGATGGGGCAGAGAGACTGGGTATTATCTGAGAGTGAAAGAGCAATAGCTAAATTAGATAAATAAATGGGGAAAGTCCTGCTTTTAAAAATTCTACATTATAGTCTTCATCGGGTATTTGCTTGTGTTCATGAACTTTATTTGACTGAAACTGTCCGATTCTAGGCACCTTATTGAATTTACTTAGAGAAAACAGAATACAAAATTAGAATAAAGTTAATTACAATAGCAAGTAAAGGTAAAAATGTAAAGTTACCCCAAATTGTGTCATAGTATACATAAATTTCCAAACTCTCTATGTGCATCTGGAAAACCATGGATTGTGTTTCAGAAGCAAGCTATTCCAAAGTTTGGGAGATGCCATCACACTCCCTCATCCTATACCTCCTCTTATCTGGGGACACTTAGCTCTCTCTAATTGTCTACGTAAGACAAATAGAAACTAATCAAGAAAGTGGTCTCTAAAATGCTCCCAGACCCCAAACTATATATATTCTTATAGATAGTGACTGGCACTTTGTATTATATGCAAAAGCCTACTTGGTAATGCAACACCTGCAATAGAATAGAGATATGATACGGCTGTGTTACCGCTCATCACTTAAGCAAGCATGCCTCTCTGCACCAGACCAGCTCAAGCTTCTGGGTGGTCTTCATGTGCAGCTGCAAGCAGAGCAAATTACAGCAATCTAATTTAGGCTTATTTTTAAGACAAGGGCCTAATCAACTATCTTATGGCTGATGTTCTTCTGTGTCTTTAGTGACTAGATGTAGGTTAAGGCTCCAGGCATCAGACCCCATTACTTTATTGGGGGGGGGGGAAACTCCAGAGTAAATTGTACATCATGCTTGCGGCATCTGTGGCAAGTTATTCTTAATTCTAAATCTGAGTTTTGCTAGATCCAGTCAAAAGCAGGCTTAAGATGGAAGAAATGATTCGGAATAATACTAAGTTGCAGGCCAAGATAACAACTAACAGTGTGCTTGTACTGTATAGGTAAACCAGAACTTGCAGATAAGTGAAGTAACGTAATCACATAATTAGCTTGCCTACAGTTTTGTTTGTTTGTTTGCTTATTACCAAGTTTCAGGGACAGCTGGTGGTTAGGTCAAACTGCTGTAACCATTAAGGACATTAAGCCCATTGATAGCAGGAGCTAGTCCTGACTATGTTGACTCAAAAAGCAAAGGTTAGCTCATATGTACCCACATAAACACTTAATAAATACTGCCTTAATATGAATAGAAATACAAATCAGGCAACTAATACTAAAGATAAATTATGAAGAGGGAAAATCCTCTGCAAGAAACCATCTATTCTCTAGTTTCTCTAGTTTCCCTCTAAGCAAAATGGCATTTTTTATAGTCTGGCTCAGACAAATACTAGGGAAGCGAATGAACAAAAACAAGATCAAAGTAATTTCAGTACAGAGACTGTGGCAATTGCTGGGAAAAAAAAGCTGCCAGCTGCATCATACAGTTCCAGCCTAGTGCTTGCAAAAGATAATGAGGTGGTATCATAATTAACACCACCACATTCAGGAGCTTTGTAAACAGCAGGAGATGGAATAATGTTGTACTATTCAATTCATACTTCTTTCAAAAAAAAAAAAATTAGGTTTGTGGTCTGACTAAACAGATTCCATCAAAAAATTAGTCTACTGTGTACTGATTTTCAAATGAATGTGAAAGCTGGCTTAAGTCGGTGCCAATTTTTTTTTTCAGATGTAAGATCTCCAAATAAATAGATAAAGTTTAAACAGTGGCAACTTCAGAATTATCAAAATGTTACAAATGAAATATCAAACTTTATAGATTTCTTCAAACTAGAATTTATGTGAAACAAAACCAGCAATGAACTAAGGTTATGGAACACACTTCGCTTTTAATAGTTTTTATGAAATACAGTTGTGGTCAATCTGTGGGATTGGTTCAATGTTTCAAATGTTATTGTAACTCTCAAAAATTATGCTGGGGTTTCGAGGTTGGCTGTACCCTCAAATGCTTTCAACAAATCAATGGAGCTGTAATCAGAACATGTGAAGTGGTTAGGCTACCATCCTAGCAAAAGAGCAATACTAACACCAAGCAACAATAGATGGAAGCAGGCTGGCTCAGAAAAGAATAGCTTTGACCGAATTAAATTGAACAAATTAAAAAAGTTGCAATCTGAGAACCAAACACTGTCCTAAGATACGTAGTTCTAACAGGGCCAACTACATATGACAGCTCATTTTCAGATTCCTTCCAAATAAAAATTTCATCAGTTGCAGTCAAGCCCTGTGATGTCATTGTCTCTGTTCAGAAATGAGTGTTTGAACACATTCATAGATGTGTTTTAACACATATATTTTCCACAATGTTCATCCAATTCAGTTAAAAAGCGTATCAGTGGCTCATGGTGCAGAAGTATCTGCAGAGGGATACATGATGAAAGAAATATTGTGTCATAATCCTCATTTGGCATTGTGTATGTACTGTGATGTCACATGTGTATAAAAGGGATAGAGTTTACAATGCAATGATATGACACTGCTTGGGTCATTTTGATAACTGTGTACAATGTTGCAGATGCCTCTACCACCCTGGTTTCCAGAATGAATCAGCTGAGAGCATAGGCTGAACACGATTTCTCATCTGTAGATCCGTGCTAAAAGTACTCAAATATAACATTAATTATTTAGCGACTAGTGACATCCAGTTCTTCTGACCCAAAGCAGCAATGTGACTTGGAGAGGATGTTGGCACACTAACTGCATCTTTCAGCACTCCCTTAAAGAAGCTTCAGCTTCTTTATGTTTCAATTATGAAAGCACCAATAGAGTGTGACAGTATCAGTGTACCTTGTCACTGCTTCTTTAATGCCTCTTTAGTTCAAACATGTTTTCTGTGATCATGCAGCTGGTGCAAACACAGAAGAAGGTGCAGCTTTTTTTTTTTTAGTGATTTGCCAAACAGCACACTCGCATTCCCTCTAAAGCAGTTTTTCTGCTTCGAATCTGAATAGGTGCACTTCTATACTACCGCTCCTCTTCAACAGTGACTCTCCCATTTTACAACTCTGGTGCCAACACTTCCACACTAAAACCATTGTAAGATCTAATAATGACACGTACCAGCACAGTCGTGCTATTCTTGGAGCAAGAATAGCAATAGCACTTCGACTTATATACAGCTTTACAGTGCTTTTACAGCCCTCACTAAGCGGTTTACAGAGTCAACATATTGCCCCCAACAATCTGGGTCCTCGTTTTACCAACCTTGGAGGGATGGAAGGCTGAGTCAACCTTGAGGTGAGATTTGAACAGCCAAATTGCAGGCATCTGGCAGTCTGCAGAAGTAGCCTGCAGTACTGCATTCTAACCACTGAGCCACCGCGGCTCATACGAAGAAGCGAATATGGAAGACAGCCCTGGCATTGTTGAATTCTAGACAGTCTAGAATTTAAACAGCTACTTGACAGCATGTCACAAATATTGTAACAATGGCACTGGAGGAAGACATGCTGAGGGTGACTGGGAATGATTAGATGAACTAAAATCAATTCTTTTTACTGTAGCCATTCAGAATAAAATCCACCAGTAAAGAACTGCCCAAAGAGATCAAGATTGAAACTGCTCAGGGTTTTCTTGACTGCAACAGGTGATAAGATAGATAGAAATAAAAGAATTAGAAAGGGCTATTTATTCTCCATTCAACAGCAAGAAATCTCAATTTACTCTGGGCTTCCGGAATTTGCAGGTTCTGTAGAAATGGAGGGGAGGAACACAACCTACCAGGTCAAATTTCAGAGGGGGCTTGGTGGGTAGCACCTTTCCAAACACAGACTGTTGACCAGAAAGCTCATAAAGATGAGGTTGGACCCTCTCTGGTGGGCTCCATTTCGATCCATCCTGAGTCTTCACAAAGTAACTAATATCTCTTTTCTGATACTGGAGCAATTGTTGTACGTTGTTTCTCTATAGATCGTAAAAAGAATATGCAAATCAATTGCAGTTTAAGTACACTGCATATGGCACAACTAAAACTAAGCATTTCAAGTTCAGTTTATTGCAGTTAAAGAAAAGCAGATGAGAAGAACCCAAGGAAAAAGAAAATGCTATGAACAAAATTATCTTTCCCACTGAAATAACTGTTAAAATCATTTTGGCTGAATTGTGCCAATATGCTTCTTCTCAGATATACAAATTAATGGTTAAATGTCACTGCTTTCAGGGTTGGTTTAAATGGCTCTTCCTTTTTAATATGCCCTCTTTATTTTTCTTGAAGTCAACTAACAACCAATTAACAGCTTACTCAAACACTAATCCTTGGATGTTTAAAAAGCATTATTTCTGTCTAAGAGAACTGGCTGCAATCCAGAAAGCAGTACATTTATTTGTTTCGGCTCTTAAAATCTTCATTCGTCTAGAGCATGGAAACCAGTATGCATTTTCCAATCTGGCTGTGTTGATTTTATACCAGTCATTAACCAAATTTGTGTTTTGCTTTCTTTATTTGACAGAGACTCTATTGGTGCATACCTTAGTTATTTCATGCACAGAGTATTGCAATAGTCTTCTTGGCAGGGTTTTTCCGTGATCTTAGACAAACCAGAACAATGACATTCAGGCTATTCTGGACCCTATGTGTTTTTCTCAGAATTCATTGCCTAGGAAGGGTTTTTATTGGCTCCCAAGAATAGCCGGAATCTCAATAAATGCTCATAGCTAAAGTTTTCTGGTTCATAGGTGTTTGCAAAGGGCTAGAGGAAAGGAAGGAGAAGAGGAACAAGTGATCAAATGCACATCACAATGTAGCATGGCAAATCTTGCCCTTTTATGTAATTCCATTGTGATATTGCAATAGGCATTTTGTCAGCATGTCATCAATGGTAACGAACTTCTAATACCAACAGGAACATCCTCCTAAAAACCTCTTGACTTATTATGTTCTCTGGGCAGGTTTTTCTTTCTGTTGCCCCTTTAAATGGATGTATAATTTATTTAATTAGAATGTTAGTTTAACTAGAAGACTTTGTTTATCCCACCTTGCACTCATTAGGATTGGCAGTTTCAAGGTTAATTCCGTTTTTTATAGAAATTCTGGATATGTTTGCACTTGGCTGTACTATAGGGTGCTATTATATGCATGGTTGCAATAGTGTGTATTAGCCGAAGATATTTCTCTAATTGGCAGGTTGTTACATTTTGAATTCTTGGGGGGGATGACATTTTTGTAATTAACTGTGTTTCTCTGACTTGTGTTGCAGGTTGGAAAATGCATATAATACATAAATATTATAAATAATAACTACTGAGAAAAATATTAAAATCATTTTTAATGATATCCAATTAAATATCCTTAGACATAGGTGCTAACAAGTCCAAAGGTTGTTCAGATCCTGGAAGAAGGCAATGGTAAATTATTGATAATAAGAAAACCACAGAGAAATGTCCATATAGACACCTGAAGCTGAGCTTGACTCAAGGGAATCACTTTACTTTTACTTCAACTATATAAAACCCACCTTGGGTGTGGATGAATTTTGTGGCTGTTTGGCTAGTTTCTTACTGAGAGATGTTGCAGTATGAACATGATTAGATTCAGATGAACTGGAAGGCCTTGTTTGACTCACAGACCTGCAATGCAAACACACTCATTAAAAGATAGCTACTGCTTGGAAAATACAACGTCAGGGTTATAGTTTGATATAACGCTCCTTTGTCTTTATTTTATTTTTTTTAGTAACAGTGACTGCAAAATCCATCCAATACTCTTGCAAGAATAAAAATATTGATTTTTTGTTGTTGTTTAGAACCACTAGTCTGTTAAATTAGCTCTGGCAATCTGTGGAAATGCTGCTTTATAGCCCCCAAGGGATACTTCTAATGAAGCTGGTGTTTAAGAAGTAATGACCTTCGCTATGGATATTGTGCCTCATTCAATGGGCTAGAGACAAAAGGCTACTTCCAATCTTTCAATATTTCAAGCAGGCCTTTTACTTTTTAATTGCTCACCACAAAACAAAACGAGAAACAACAACAAGAGCATCACAAAGTGCTGTTGTCTTGATTTAGTGCCAGAAAAAAAACCAAACAATTTATATTCACGATAGATACAGTATTTCACATCTTTGTAATGTGCTTACATTATATAAAACAGCTACAATTAAATTATCTACTATAAACAATGGTATCAACCAAAAGGTAACAAAGGTAAGCAAACGACGTTAAACACAATTTTATTTCAAATATTATATAAGGTTTTCAAGGTCTTAATGTCTTAAACCTTGGTATTCATTTTCATGAAATAGCAATTGAAAAGCCTTTCACTATGTTTAGGTAATTCCTTTCATCATAGATGAGACAAGAAAGCTTCACTACTTGAGATGAATGAATAGGAGAAAATAATCTCTTCAATATCTTTGTCCATTTTAGGTATTAAACGTCTCCAGTCCCACCCAGTAATGGATTGTCAACTGGCTCAGATACAGCAAAATAAGCATATGAATTCCCTGACAAATACAGATACTGAGTTTAATATTTATATGCTTTAACTATGCTTATTGTTTTGTTTTACTTTGTATCTTGTCGATCATCTTGGGAGGAGGAAAGGCGGGATATCAATCAAATTAATAAAATAATATCTCCTTCTTAAGAGAGCTATTCCTGGACAAGGGAGGAAAAAGTTAATTCCCCACTCCACACCAGCTCCAATCTCATTAAGACTACTTTCCTCAGATGATGCCTTTACATTCTTTTAAAACAAGAAATCCAATATGAGAGACACGATGCCTCATTGTTGGTAAAACTAGATTTTATTCTGTTGAGGGACACAATTCTGCAGAGATACTGCGCTGAAGGGTCAAATGCTAATGACTAGTATGGGCTAAAGCAAATAGTTGATGGAGCTAGAACTCAAAGTGAGTGAGGTTAACTTTTATTTCTCTTTCTGATATATTTTTTCCTTTCTTCTCTTCCCAGGCAATAGCTACAAGCGAAGAGAAATTTAAAAAAAAACCCTTTTTATCAAGTGTCTTAGAGTTTTGACCACCACATGCAGTTTTATACTGTTGCTCCAGGCTTTAGTGGATCCTCTGCGTTTTTAATTCCTCTAATAATTCCTCATATGTGGTTTCTGTTTTGAACTTTTGCCCTTTTGCCCTTTGACACACACTACACTTATTTAATTTTATATACAAATAAAAACAAATTACACATTCACACATTCAGGCAGAACCTTACTTCTGACTGAATAAACCAAAATGTTTCATTGTAATGAATGATATTAATGAAAGAATATAAATAATAGGGCTGTTGGTCTGAGCTCTGACCTTGGCTATTTGGTTGCAAATGTTTCATCATCATTCGATGAGACGTCGTCTGTGCGCTTTGAATTGTGCTCCTCTGTCAGAGGACTGGTCTTTAAATACCTTTTTATGTGATGCAAATTAGTGTGGATGTTGTTTGTTTGGCTACTTCTGAGTCATGGTCTGACTTTGGACTGTTTGATTGGCCGGCTGTTATTACTGAGGCATGGTCTTTGGTTTTAAGTGCCGTTTGTGTGATGTAAATTAGTATTGTTTGTTCGGATACTGCTGAGTCATGGTCTGGTTTCGGTCTATTTGAATGGCTGGTTGTTGTTACTGAGAAGCGATCTGATTTCTTTATAGCCCAACTACCAACCCGTGCTACTTATATTCAAATACATTTCAATATAGATAATACTCATTCTGGAAGACATTGGCCAGCAATAGACAATGTCTGAGGTTGCAGTTTCAAAAAAGAGCAATGTTAAATATCATACCTAAGTTTCTCTATAGTAGTCTTCTTATTAATAAAGAACACTCTAATCAAGGTCTTCCTCTTGAAATACACAAGTAAACTGGCCGCCAGAAGGCATAGGATGGTTATAAGTATTGCAATTAAGCTTCTGTTATCTAAAACAAACAAACCCATAATCCTTAATTAAAAAGATTAAATCAAAAATCACTTACTTAAGTTTTTGGGTAGCAATATTCCTAATCCACAATCATGCATATATATACACACACAAAGAACTGTTAATGACTAATTCTGAAATTAGACAAAAGGCATGGTTACAGATATTCTGTGCTTTCATCTTCTATGGCTCAAATAATGTAGCAATGAATAAATTAGATTTCCCTAAGGTGATAAGTCTTACCCCAAGAGGGATCACTATTCCTTATTGATCACTCTGGTTGAGATTATGAAAGTAGAGATCTGGCACATCTGAAGAGCCCCACTTGGGAAAAATTAAGCAAAGTTGGGCAAAATATATGGGGAAATTAAAGTCACATCACTCCTTGACAAGAAATTGCCCTGTCTTTCTAGAATTGATGTTCTTTATCATTTTTGTGCATATAACTCAATATAACTATTACATAGGTATTGATAAGAGATTGTGTACATGTCTGTAGGTGTGTGAGGTAGGTAGGTAGGTAGGTAGGTAGGTAGGTAGGAAGGAAGGAAGGAAGGAAGGAAGGAAGGAAGGAAGGAAGGAAGGATATCCTCCTTTATTTACCATAGTTGGGACTGGCAACTCTATTGGTTTATCCAGGATGTGACAATTAAGCAACACATCACATGATTGTGATTTGTAATTTTACTGTCAACCTTTCCACTGACTCTGTCTGTCAGAATTTCGGCTGTGAAGCATGCAAATGGTGATCACATGACCTATTTTTTGCACACTTTCATTTTCCAAAGCTTTTTCATCATAGTTTAATCATGGTTTAATTCATATTGTTTTAGATATGTCAACCATCTTGCTTCTGCCTAGTTTGTATGGTATCTTTATTTTATATTTTATTGGATATATTGGATACTCGAATTTATCATTTTATGTATCATTTTAGTGTGTTTGTGATAAACTGCCCACAGAGTTTCAGCCAGTGGTGGGATTCAGCCAGTTTGCACCACTTCGGGAGAACCGGTTGTTAACTTTCTGAGCAGTTTGGCGAACTGGTTGTTGGAAGAAATCATTAAGGCAGAGAACCAGTTCTTAAATTACTTGAATCCCACCACTGGTTTCAGCTATTGAGCAGTTTAAAAAGTTTTATATAAATAAACATTTAGCACAGAGCAGTGGATTCCTGCCTCTATTTAAAATTAAAAACATTTTGTGTGTACTTATTTTTAACTTATTTTTATTTAAAAAGCAATAGCAGTAGCACTTAGACTTATGTAATGCCTTATAGTGATTTACAACACTCTCTGGGCAGTTTACAATGTCAGCATATTGCCCGCAATAATCTGGGCCCTCATTTTACCGCCCTTGGAAGGATGGAAGGCTGAGTCAACCTTGAGTTGGTCAGGATTGAACTCCTGGCTGTGGGTAGAGTTAACCTACAATACTGCATTCTAACCACTGTACAACCACAGCCACAAACTAAGATACTGTAGTATCTTTCCTGTGGTTTCTCCTTCAAAGTAAAACTAACTCCCTCAGGGATAAATAACACTTGACTGTTTCTTTGCCCGTCTGTTGAAGACTGAGACTTACATTTCTGGCAAACAGCAGAAGCTACTGCTATACCTGGTGACAGGACAGGAAAATGAAAGAGATCAGGCATCCCTAAGCTTTTTGGTACCATTTCTTACTCTCTTCCCATCCTGCACCCTTTTTTAATTGGCATTATCAATTCTATTCACTGTATGTGTGAAAGGACAAATTGTGCACTTCCTTCACCTCCAGGATAAATTAAAACCAATAGGGAAAAGATCAATATAATATATCAAAATCCTATTTAAATTCCTGGGAAAGAGATTGAGCAGAATATGTTTAGCATTAATGTGATCATATCCATGGAGTTTATTAAGTTTATTTGTTATGATAAAGAGTTGGATGAAAGAGGCTTCAAATGAAAAAGCCGAATGCAAAGATATGAGCATATCCAAACTTCACAGTGTTGTTACTTGGCTTTATATAGTCAGTAGGACTTTCTGCTGAATATAAGTAATGTTGAACTGTGATTAAATTCACTTACTCAACATCTGGACTTTTTTTTTTTTTTTGCTATTATAATTCCAAGAATGGATTCTTGTCTGAATAAGAACTCATTTTGATTTAAACCAACTTCATCTTATTATAAAATCATTATGTCACTGTACTGATACAGAGATTTGGATGATGTCACAAACTCACCTCACTATCATAACTTTGCAGTAAATGCCATCTCATTTTAATTTGAATAATGCGGTGTATCCTAATCAACTCCCTCCAAATTGAGATCATTTCCAAACTTTAATGGTAGGCACAAATGTAGCTCTGATTCTGTTCTTACATCCAATCAACATAGAAATATCTTTACAGACTTCAAAGCTTTGGTTGTATATGATTTACAAGAGGAAAATCAATTCCTACCCAATTTCAGGCAGAGATAAAGCAGTCTGATTTGCAGGCAGAATAAAGGGAAAATATATTTTTAGGGAGTTGCCAAAAAATGAAAGGTTAAGGAACTAGAAAAGTTTTCCTATCAATCCATGCGTACAAAGAAGCCTGTGGAAAAATGGATGATCCTTAAGTAGGCTACTTTTCTTAGTAATTATTGGCTACTGCATAGGTGTAGCTGTTTATTTAATATGTAGCTCTTTAACATAGTTAAGTACAAGGTATTTAAAATTCAGTAAATATATCAATGCATTTGTATGTGCTACTACTCAACTGTATACCTTCTTTTTCTTGAATGACAATTGTGTGAGGTGGTCTTATGTGAATCAGTGGATCTTATTTGAATCAACTTAGTTACTACTAAATTTCCTACTTAATCAATCATCACATCTTTAATTAAAGAACCGAAAGAATGATGTGGAAAATGTCAACAATACTCTAAGGATATCAAGACTGAAGTCAATACTGTCTGTGACGTATTAAGCCAATACAATTTAAGATTAGGGCTGTTGTCTAGGTTAGCAAAGTATGCTATGAAGATGAAGCTTAGGTGACCCATATGAGGAATTTAGTTACACCTGCCTTTTTCACAATGGGCAAAAGAAATGGTTAGATAAAGTTTAAGGTTGGACTGCAAAGGATATTATGAGGATTGGCTAGCAACTTGTACAACTTCACAGCTGGCTATGCTTCCTGAATCTCCCTGAACATCTCTGCAAAATATGTTTAGCTATTTTACCCTGATGGAAGGATGTTTGCCATTTCCTTTAGCAAAAAGTTAACTTTATTATTCTGCAAGAACAGCTCAATATTAACATTTCAGAGCCTTCTAGGAATGAAGCATTGATATTTACAATTAATATAAATGGGAGAAAATTACTTTTGCCCTTTGGAAATTCCCAAATTTTGTATGGGGAAGCGCTAGCAAAAACAACCATGAAGTTTGCTCTGCAGAATTCAAATACAGCGAAATTATTTGTTTGAGGTGCAAATCTGAAAGTGCTGATTCTACAGCACCCCATGACCTCCTCAAAACAAAGCAGCAGCAGTGTGTAAATACAGAGTTAAGGTTTTCCTTTTCATTCTCTCTTTACCTTTCATTCTCTCTATTTTTGTCCAACACTGCTAATTGGAGATTCTTTTTCTGCAGGCACACAAAAATAGAATAGAATAGAATAGAATAGAATAGAATAGAATAGAATAGAATAGAATAGAATAGAATAGTTGGAAGGAACCTTGAAGGTCTTCTAGTCCAACCTGCTCAAGTAGGAGACCCTATACCATTCTGGACAAATGGTTGTCCAATCTCTTTTTAAAAACCTCCAGAGATGGAGCTCCTACAGCTTCTAAAGGCAAACTGTTCCACTGATTGATAGTTTTATCAGGAAATTTCTCCTTATTTCTAGGCTGGATCTCTCCTTGATTAGTTTTCATCCTTTGCTTCTTGTCCTGCCTTCAGGTGCTTTGGAGAATCGGTTGACTTCTTTGTGGCAGCTAGATCCTAGACTTTTGCCTATGTATTTCCTATACATAAATTCACTTTCTATTATGAGTATTAAACCATTCTCAGGAATCCTTGGAGCACATCCAGAATGTTTCAACCTGCAACATTATTTTTTATGTGAGTACTCAACTCTAGCATTGCTTTGGATCTATGGCACAGTGACTATAATCCTGAACTTTCAGGACAATGAGGTTTAAAAAAGTGCAGCATTCAATCAGATGAGGGTAGAGATGGAATAGAATATAAAAAACACAGTCTTTCCAAGAGTTCATCTGTGATCTTAAGTTTCCTCTCACTGTATTACATTGCTTGTACCAGTCTGTCACTTATGTTATGCTGCTGTCATCTGAAAGACCCAATGTTATTACATAAAAGAGCCAACAGGACAAAGGTGAAAGACATCAAGATGTCCCAGCACAAAGCAATGAAATAGGAAGATTTTATTTGGGAAGGTTTATGGAGGAGAACAGTCTTTTGTTACCATAAATGGACCGAGGCACAATCAGTGACTTACAGCTGTAACTACTTTTGCATTTAAAGTGAAACAAGGCACCACCCTATACTCTACATAATTCAATTTATTTATATCTGCAATGGTAGCTAGAAGTGGATACTGTGATATAAAAACTGGATCCCTAGATAATCTGATGTCCAAAGCCAATTCCTCCATTTTTCTTCTCTTTTCTTTTGTCTGTTTACTCACCAGATTGTCGTACTGGCCCACTGTCAACACTGCCGCCAAATCCTGCTTTATCACAAAAGGGAGGACCCCAATGAGCCTCACAGTGGCAATTCTTTTTATTGTTGCAGACCTCAAAAGCAAAGCATGTACAAATATGAGCATGGAAAGCACTAGCAAAGATTTATGCCTATCATAATAATAAAAATAAAATAAAATAAAAAAGTAAATAAGATACAGCAATCGTGCTTTGTGATGTTACAAAGACTACACCCTTTTATAGATTGTTCCAAATGTAACTCCAAGTGGAATAAAAATAATTGACTCCAGAATTAAAAAGTAACTGTAGGATCACAATGTACGTGGCTCCAGAATTATTTTGATAGCATTTTCTCTTCTAGAATGTCTCCTTGAAGGAATGTAGACAATTTACTTTCTAGTTTGGAAGCTGCAATTCCAGCCATAATAACCGAACAACACTGTCACTAGATTGTTCGCATGCTAGAAGATTATAGAGAGGCAGCCCATTTTGCAAGGAGTTTGTTTGTCCCTCAAGTGTTATATATGTATTATTGATTATAACTTTTAAGGGGTCCCAGGATTTGGTCATTAACTTAATTGCTTTCTCGGATCAGGGAAGATCTACTAAATAAGTTTAAATCGTACCTAGTCTTGCAAGCCTGAAGAAGCTATAACAAAAATAGGTGTCCAGTGGGTTCTCATTTGTGGTTTGTGCATAGATAGTTAAGTGTCTTACTGAAATACTTGTGAATGCTGCTGTATGCTAGAACAAAATGCCATGCAAAATATTCAAGCATAAGTTAAGGACTGCCTGAAGAGGAACCTCCACCATTGAAGGAAGGTTGATCATCGAAGAAAGAAAGAAATCATATCCGCTCCTGCTTGTCATATATAATTTCTGTCTTGCTTGAGTATCTGAAACACTGTTTATAGTAGTGGTGGGTTATGCTGCTTTTAATATATTTATATTTTAATTGCATAGTTGATTTTTCTCCTGAACATTTCCTTGGAGATCTGAAGGATGGGCTACTCACTAAATGTTTTAACTTCATTTTTTTGTAAAACATTTTTAAAATATTTCAGTTCTGTTACATCTCCTTGGCTGAACATGCCTATCAGCCTCTGTTCCAAACAGCTGGATACATTTGAAAGAATCCTTTGCCCCAGTCTATTATGCCTGAAACATTAACAGGAGCATAAGTGAACTCATTCTAGTTTTTAAACTGCTGAATGTTAATTTTTTCAAAGATAAGGTCACTGTGACCAGCAATATTGCTTTGTCAAATAAAAGCCACATATCCTTTCTTGGACATTGAAAGGGCATTGAAAATTGATCTTTCTGGAAGCAGAGGCTGAAAAAAAACTGACTGACATATTACCAAATAAACCACCGTTTTAAACGCTGTAACCAATGAATGATTTATTGCTCAGCTGGAGATTGACTGACTATAAAAAATTGAATCTGTAATACTTACCCCACGTCCGTGACATTTTGTCACACATTCATGAACACCAAATACACTGGTGTTTTGGCAGCGGCGATTAAGACAGATCTGTAAAGACATAAGAGCAGGCAAAAGATAATTTATGGTATAAAGACCAAACAATTGGATATTTCTTTCTCTACTGTATTTCTAATTCAAGACAAAATAGCCAATCTCTTCTGGTTATGATTTTAAACTAAATTTTGATTTAGTAGATTTAGTAAATTTAGTAAAGCAACCAATATTGCACCATGAAATAATATATCAAGATGTTAAGACCTAAAGCGTTCTGAGTGAAATAACTTGGAATATAGAACAAATCTGCAGGTATAGAATATGTAGGAAGTATGATGACTGCTTTATTCACGGAACATTGTGCATACATCAATCTATCCTCTTTTCTTTCAGAAATATGTTTCTTTCCTGACTGCTATATGTTATGTCTTTAGGACAACTATATTTCTCTGCCACATTGAACATGGTGTATTTTGAAGTTAAGAATACAAGGATGTAAAACATAAAGGAGGTAAATCTGATGTTACAGCAGATCAAGGGACCAGCATTTTGGGTCTCCCAATGACCATGTGGGTCCACGAGGAATTCTTAACTAAAGCTTATTGGAAACTAGATATACATATTTTGGGATGGGATGGGTGGGCCATCAAACTGCTCTTTTAAAGTGTGGAACTACCAGACTTAATTTATTTATCTAGATTTATGTTGTGTCTATTTGCAAGTTCAGCAAATATTAGAACGATACTATTAATTTTCACCACTTCCTTTGAAATCCTATACGTGAACATTATTGCTACGTGTGTATGTATTCAAGTCAGTTTTTGACTCCTGCATAGTTTTTGGCAACTGCATAGATTAGTGTCTGCAATTTTCTTGGCAAAATTTTTCAAAAGCAATTTGCCATTGTCCCCTTCCTAGACTGAGAGTAGGTCACCCAACTAGCTTTGTGCCTAAGATGGGACAAGAACTCACAGTCTCCTGGTTTCTAGCCTGGTGCTTTAACCACAAAATGACTCAATGAACATCACTGTTTGTGGAAACCTAAAGTAGCATTCCTCTACATGATGGAGGAGTTGGTGTACTCTTCCTCCTCCAAAAAACAGACAAGGTAATTCTACTATTACATCCAATAATGGATGGAAACTATCCATTAGTTAGCAACCTGGAATTAAGGAGAAACTTCCTAACAGTGAGAACAATTAACCAGTGGAGCAGCTTGCCTTCAGAGGTTGTAGGGGCTTCATCACTGGAGGTTTTTAAGAAGAGACTGGACAGCCACTTATCTGAAATGGTATAGGGCAGGGGTCAGCAACTCCTGGCTCTGGAGCCTCCTGTGGTTCTTTCATCCCTCTACTGCAGTTCTCTGTTGCCAGTCAGCTCCACAATTGATAGGACTTTTAGTTAGGACAGGTCGAGGAAAAAGGACACCATGCTAGGAGGAGATTCTATGGTGGGGGAACTGGACTTCCGGTTGGCAGAGGAAAAAGGATGGCACGCTAGGAGGAGACTCTATGGTGGAGGAACTGGACTTCCGGTTGGCTCCAGAATTGAATGGGGGGCTTCTGGTTAGCACCTTTGTGGCTCTTTGAGTGTTTAAGGTTGCTGACCCTGGTATAGGGTGTCCCACTTGAGCAGAGGATTGGACTAGAAGATCTCCAAGATCCCTTCCAGTTCTATTCTGATTGATTGACTATGACACTATCCAAACTTGCATGGTCCCTCTTTGTCCAATTTGTGGGGGAGTGAGTGTATATGGGGTTGTGTAAGAAAGAGAAAAAGAGAACAGAAATAAGAGAGAGGGCAAAGGTTCATCTCATGAATTACCATCTGCATGATAGAAGTGGAAAGTCTGTTCTTTGTCTATGTGAAGAGAAGCTAATTGTTTGAATTAAACTTTAGAAATCAGCACCTTCTTATTGATGCAAACAATAAGGATAAGCATATCCTATCCTAGTACACACAATTATGCAATATCATGCCAGAGAATTCTGTGCATCCAAGATATTTGTCAAAGTTTTTCTCTTCAACAATGGCATCTATATTAAGAGGCATTTAAAAAAAAAAGGGAGGGGGGTTAATGTCAAAAGCAATTTGTGATAAGGTCAGCAGTGGAGTGGAAAGCAACAGCTTGAAAGAAACTCCCAAATTCAGACTCGGTAATGGCAGCGTTTTCTATTTTTTCAAGATAGTTCTTTCTGAAGAAGAGCCCATAATAGTTAAAGTATTTCAAATGCTGCTGGAGGTTAATTTCTGTCCAACTATATATTAAGTCTACCCCACATCCCCACCCCAAAATTAAACTGCTTTCCTTTGTAGATTAGATGCGTATGGGCTCAAACTTTCAACAGAATCGTCATTTTATTGCAGGGTTAAATTAGCGTTTGCCTGAAGAAAATACATTTATCTTTTATTTATAGGGAAATGAATAACAGGGAGTGGCATGTAATCGAATGTTCATTGTTCATGCAATCATCATAGAGAGTTAGCTTCACTATTTCACTGGAGCTGAAACACAGGGACGGAGAAAGATTGACATTCCCATAAAAGCAGACTCACAATGCAAACTAAAATGACCCACTTACAGAGTGCCTGATATATCATCAGAGTAGAGGAAAGATTATACAGTGCAGGAATGGGTATTAGATGCCAGGTCAACAATCAGATCTCTCCCATAATATCTGCTCTCCTTTAATTTGGGGACTTATTTCAGCAGGGCTAAAAGTCAGGCACAATTTTTATGAGCAGGCAGGGGGCAAAATGAAGCAGAACAGAATACTGATGCTTAATCAGGGTAGATTTTCCCTCTAGGGAAAGGGGAAATTAGGAAAGAAATGAAAGGGAACTGGCTTCACAACAAATAAAATATACCACTGAAACCTCACAACAAACAAACAAACCATTCAGTATCCCATGTCACACCAAATTGTTTGTTTTCATTTACATATTGCATTTATAACTCAGCAGAAAAAAGCCCTCAGGGGGTCTATACTGGATCCTCTCCTAATTTTAATATTACAAAACAGCCCTATAAACACAGCTCAGCTAGAGGAGAATGACAGGCCAATGGATGGATGACATGAAGCAGTTCTTTGTCTAGTCCATATTGACCTACTCCATTAATGTGCCTGCTATTAAAATAAGAACAAAGATGTATTAAAAGCAGGTGATTGTATGGTTTAATTAAATTTATTTAAGCAACTCTGGAGCTCATTGTTGGGGAAGGAGAGCAAGCCATTCTCCCCTTCAGCATCCCTGCAGGCCACAATATGCCATCCTGGATATGGGCGCTATTTTCAGAGTGGCTACAAAACACAAACTAATATAAAGAAGAAAAACAGAAAAAAGCTCAAAGAAAAAGGAAAAAGTTTCCATTGTGTTATGATCTCAAAGATATTTTTTTTATAAAAGGATGTATTATTGGTACATGACGCCAGAGAAATTATCTAGATTGTATAAAGCATTTCAAATGTACACTGAAAATGTGAATATCATGAAGGGCCATTTTGCATGTTGAGTAGATGAATAAAAAACCCAAATATTTTGGATTCAAATACATACTTGGATACCGAGGATTTTAAAGATTAATATTCAACTGAAGCAGGGAATTTTCTTTTAAGGATTAATGGATAAATAATTAGATAAAAGCTATGGAAGATTATTTCAATATATGATTACAGCAGCAGAATTATTATATGTGCATAGATAGAAAGATTCAACATTACCCACTATGTAGGAATGGTTGGTGAAGTTGATATATTTGAAACAGTTAAATTGACTTCTTTGATTAGAAAAAAGGCATTATCTATTTTTATTGATGATTGGAAGCCTCTTGTGGACTTTTTGCATAAAAATAAAAGAAGGACTTTGATTTATGGTTTTGATGCTAAGATGGGATACATTAATAGAGTGGAGTAAGATGTTGCAACTTTAGAAGGGAGAAGCTAGAATATATTTGTAGTTATATATTTTTGTAAAGAATATTGAAAACATTTTTATATCTTTTTTCTTCGTCTCTATTTTTCTTCAACTTTTTTGATATTGAATACTTTGTTTAAGTACTCAGGTGCATCTGCAACGAATTGTAATTCCATCCAAAGTACAAAATATGTGCAGACACGTCATGATGCAAATGCTGTTCCTGATGCAGTTGTGTGAGATGTTGTGCATACCCTTTTCCTTTCCCTGCTCTCCTTCTAGGATGCTGATGAAGATATTTTATGGCTCAATTAAATTGGAACTTCTACCAAAAAGAAGATCAGATGGCATGACTTTTTCTAGATAAATACCTGCTGGCTCCTAGCATATATTCTAAATATTCACAAACTGACTACTTAATAATGTGTTCCAAAGTTTCAAGCTTTGGTTTGATTCGCTATCTGGCATTTTGAGTTACTTGCCTGTATAGAAGGATATTCTGTCTTCATATATAATGCCAAACTCCTCCTCCTTATTCCCTTTAAATGACTTATGCCCTCAGTTTCTGCATTCTGCTCATCAGTTGCATCTATCAAGTTTTAATAATGCCTTCTAAGTCATAAGACCTCTACTTTTCCTTCCTTGTTTCTCATACATTGGGTAGATGGATAAAGGCCATGAAATCCTCAGTTCATCAAACTTGACTTGTCCCTTCCTTTAATTATATCCTCTTTATTGAATACCTCCACATCCTGCTACCCCTCCCCATCTCAGTCCCCGGAGAAGTAGTATTGTTGAGTTCTCATCTCCTTCCTGATAATATTTATTCAGTAATGCTCTGAATCAAGCTCATCTCTTGCCAGAAGTCATTTAAAAAATGAGGGACTTCTGGCAAGAGATGAACTTGATTCAGAGCATTATTGAGTAAATTCTATCAGGGAGGAGATGGGAACTCAACAATACTGTTTCAATTGTCAGAGTATCCAAACTATTTCTTTTGGCACCATCTGTGTTGCTAATTTTCATTTCTTTATTTTTTTAATATGCGAGCCACACTCTTTAACAGAAGAAATGAAGAAATTGATGCTTGGCCCATATCTCTTTTATTCAATATTTCATAATCGCATTTGGTATGTGGA